ACTTCACGAACAATTTCAAACACGAGCTTATTTCAAACAAACTAAATTTCAAACGAACCGAACACGAACAAATGTTAATATATAAATAATATATATTAATATTATTTATATATATTAATATTATGGATGTCAAACTGGCTCGTCGTTCGCGAACAGCTCGTGCTCGGCTCATTCGTTAAGAAACGAACACGAACAGTGACTTCACGAACAATTTCGAACACGAGCTTATTTCAAACAAACTAATTTCAAACTAGCCGAACACGAACAAAAGCTCTGTTCGGCTCGTGTTCGGACCGTTTACACCCCTAGCTAGAGACATATGAATTGTGTGTTATTCCATGTCGAACTTACAAAAATCATGCTAAGAAATCAAGTATCATACCGTGGTTTTGATAAAAATAATTATTTATTTATTTTTACATATCAACTACTTAAAATATTAAATATAATATTTTTATTGTCCAAATTTTAAATTAAATATTTAAACTATCTAAAATTTTCATTCAAAACATTCATTAATAAGTTTAGGAGAATAATTGCTGGAAGGAGGATGTGCTGCTTCAAATGCTTAATGTTAATGATGCTAAATTCATTTCTTCTATTCCTATTTTCAATAATAAGCAGGATGGTCCTATGGTTGAAGGCAAGGTTGGTGACTCTTGCTCTAAAAACTTTGCTAATTCTTTTCAGACTTTTCAGGGGATGGATATTAAATGGATTTGGAATCCATGGTTAAAACTTTCAATTTCTTTCTTCATTTGGAGAGTGCTTCATTACATTGTTCCCATAGATGATATACTTAAGTTAAAAGGATTGAGGATTCCTTCTCGTTGCCTGCTTTGTCAAAGGGAGGATGAGAGTATCCTTCATTCTTTTGGTAATTGTACGTTCACTATTGCTACCTGGAATCATATCTCTCTTAAACTTCTTAATATTGGAGCTTTGCATGCTTATAATTCTCTCAATCATATTTTTTATGCCTGGTGTAAATTGGGAAATATATTCTTTAGAATGGCGCCTGCGGTAGTCTTGTGGTTTATTTGGCTTACCAGGAACAATGTTAAGCATAAGGATGTTTCTCCTAATATCTTTAGTACCTTGAGTAGGATAATTAATTTCTTGAGTAATAGTTTGAATTCTAAAGGAGTTAAAGGATGCAATTCAAGTAATACTATTCTTTATCTCCTTCCTGCTCTCGAGTTCTTTGGCGTAAGCCTGCTATGCCATCTTTTAAAATCAATACGGATGATTGCTGGAAACATGATACTGCTAGCGTTGGTGGTGTTTAGCTTGACTTTATTGATTCTATTGTTTGTTGGTTTTTTGCTAAAGTTGTTCCTATTTTAGCTTTAACGGCAGAAGCAGATACTGTTGTTTTTGGTCTTTTGGTTGCCAGGAAATTGGGTTGGATTAATCTTGTTTTTGAAGTTGATTCTCTTATGTTATGGAGATATTGCAAATTTAAATTGGATACTCATTGGAGCATTCTTCTTCAAATTAGGAGAATTAATGACCTTTCTAAGGATTTGAATATTATTTGGTCTCATATCAAGAGGAATAGTAATCAGGCTGCTCACTAGGTTGCTAAAGCCGGTTTGAGATCTAATCATGCTTTTATCAGTATGAGGATTCCAGATGAGCTTTTGGTTTTGGCTTTGAAGGATCTTAATTGTTGATTGTTGGTTGTTTTTCTGTTTTTTTCTAGTGTTAGCTGTGTGAGTTGTATTTTTCTTTCTTTTGGAAGGAACCTTTTTTTTTTTTTTTTTCTTGTGTGAGTTGTATAGGGATTTATGTTGGTAGGTTCCTTCCTTCTTTTGTATTTTCATTTTTAGCAATAAAATAGAAGCCATATAATGCTCTTTAAGAATAAAAAAGTTTAGGTGGGTGATTGTAATGGCAAAATAATTAAAATATTATATTTAAAATTTGAGGGTTAAAATATTATATTTAATATTTTGAGTGGTAGACATGTAAAAAAAAATATTTTTTCCCCTCTTTTTTAAGAATTAATAATTTTTTCTATGATTTCGAGTGCGGTTTCAAGATCTAATTTCTTTATTTTTTTTTTTAATTTTGGAGAGAATCTATTTGTGTTAGTCTGTATATATATATAATTAAAATCCGATGTACGTATGCTCTTAGATAAAGAGAAAATATAAAAAATAAATAAATAAATTACCCAAAAAAATAATTAAAAAAGAAGAAGAAGTGCTTTACTCTTCTATAATATCGTGGCACTCCAGACAGAGGGTTGAACGTCCAACTCTCTTTATTTGCATTTAGCCTCACATTCTCTTCACTGACCATGGAGGCTAGCCTGATAACTTCCTCTCATTCTGCTGCCAGCTTTCTCAAGAAAGAGCACAGTCCAATAAGTCATTTCTTCTTTTCCTGGTTCGCCTGCCGGAAGAAACTCACCGGCGGCGGCCAGAGTAACCTGGTTGTCGCTAGGGCGAATAAGAGGAAGGAGAAGTCTGATGCACACAGCTTCATTCCGAAGCCTGACGAAGCAACTGGGCCTTTCCCGGAGGCCGTGCTCCTTAGAAAGGTGAGACTTTTGAGATATCCTGTCGGGTTCTCTTGCAGTTTTGCTGATCATTTCAATTGGGCGATGAAGAGTGGAACAAGGCTTTGATTTTGTTCTTCATTATGCCTTTCTGTTTATTTTGATTATTCAGAATTTGCTTTTACAAACGAAGCAGTTGAACTTGCTTTGAGAGAACAGCAAACTTTTTTCTTTGTATTAATAGATATGAAGAATTGGTGTGGTCTTAGAATGTATGACTGGCAGTGTGGTTTCTCTTATTCATTTTTGAATTGGTTTCATATATTGTGCCGAAGCTTTTCTAGGGTTTGATTTGTGTGTGTGTGTGTGTGTGTGTGTGAGAGAGAGAGAGAGAGAGGGAGGGAGAGATTAAATGTGAATATCATGAGAGATATTTTTGGGGCTTTTATTTGGGAATGAGGTTAAATTAGCTGGAGATTGTGATGCTTCCATGGTTTTCAGAATAATGGCTTGTATCTAAAATCTTTCAAAATTATGGCTATGTTGTAGATGACTTGAGCTTCAATCATTGTAAGTAATATGTTCAAATGTTTTTGAGGAATAACAGGTTTTCTTTTCCTAGTAGGAAATCAACAGGTGTGTGGCACTGTCTAATTCATGAAAGTTTTGTCAGTAATTTATACATCTATTGCCATTTTTTAATTAATTTAATTGATGCTTATTTGTAATAAATAAGTAATAATGCTTGTTTTGTTTGTGTACTATTGTTTTATACTTTGTACTTAATGTGTTCTTATTATGGTTTTTTTTAATGATATATGAACATCTTTTTCAGAAAGTAGTCAAGGAAGATGGAAGAGTTGTACCTGAATTTGCAGATGCTGAAGAAGGTGGATTTTCTTTTCTATTGGATTAAATTGGATTGTTTTCAAACTGCAAAACCTTTGTTTATAACCTTACATATAATGATAGTTTTATCAAATTCTTTGAGAATTGGCCTTTTGAGTTTCTTTATATGACTTCTCATATTCGTTTTAAACCTGCATTTATTTGTAATAAAAGTTGAGCTAAAATTTTTGAACAGTTTCTCAGCTATCTTACATTTAGTTTGGTTCTTTTCTCAATCATTTCAATTTAGCTTTTAAGTTCTGGCTTCTTGGTGATATCTCTTTCTTCATGGCATCATGAGAATGAAAGCTGATGATTTGTTGTGCTCTTCAGTATTTTGGTGGTGATATTATAAGTACAAGCATTTGGTTGCTGTTGGTGTTTAATTATCAACTCCATGGCCATTTGATTGCATGATGTATAGTTTTATATTTTGACGTTTTCTCAACTATTACAAACTCTCGTTGCGTCCGTAATTTAATGTTCGTAAATTTCCCAGGGAATATATAATTAGAATGCAAGTATAATGAGGATGACTTTCAAATTATAATCATGACAATTCTTATTTGCAGAGAAATTATACGAGTTTCTCAAACTTCAGCTTGAGAGTGACCTGAAACTTGAAAAAAGTAAGTTACACACTTTATTTAAGCTGTCGGCTTTCATTATGTTCATCTTTTAAGTTCATCTGTGTATGATTTATACAGGCTACGATTTATCATCGTTTTTTATCTTTCTGTTTCTTTCCTTGTACCCTTAACCATGAGAAATGTTTTTTCTCTTTAGGATTGGAATTAAATTGGGTGACACAAGGAGAAAATAATAAAAGCTCAAATTGATAAGGGTGTTTGCCCATATAGTTAGACAGCTGAGAGGAACTCATTATAATACTAAATATTGCAAAATTATCTTAAAAATTATAGCGAAGTGTGAATTTGTGTAATGTGTTGTTCCATGAATGCTTTTAAATGCTTTTGATTACTGATCGGCTCAAATTCTAAATGAAAATAGCTTCAGTATTGCTGTAGGTTAGGAACAAGTTGTCAATGAGAGGAAGTTTTAGCAAGGTGAAATGAATTTTTTTATCATCAATAACGTTTATATGTATTTTAGATAATGATTGTTGCCTTCTTTTTACACATGAGAGATATTGAAAATGTTATTATGGTAAAAAAATGATGCATTGGAGAAGTTTTGAAAAATCATAGACAACTTAGGGTGCAGATAATTTCGTTGCAATTGGAAATATTCGATTATAACATACATATATAATATATTGTAATGCTTAACTGGTAATTTTTGTTGTGTTTTTCTTTTTTTCAGCGGAATTTTCTCATTAAGTTGTGAAAATGAGAGCGGTTTGGGAGCAGTGGTTAGGTTGCTTCTATTTTGACATGAAGGTTTTGAGTTCAAGTCATGGAAAAATCTTTTTTGTAATAGAGATTTTTTGAATTAACACGACTTAAAATTTGAACTCAATCGAGAAAATTTGAAATGATTGAGTAGATTTGAATTCACCAAGACATCGATTATGGTTTAAACTCCGCAAGAGGGTTTGAGTGGGTTTGAACTTCATTGAGAGGGGAGTGGGATGAGTGGGTGTCAGATCATTTCACTTTGGTGCGAAGAGAGGATAAAGTATGTATGGTAACTAGAGCAAATTCTAAGTTTGGGAAGGAAGAATAGACAGAATGAATCAAATCTAATTCAACCAAGCATGTTTCTTTGCAAATTAAATCAGGTTTTTGTTATGGAATTCCAAGCAAACCCAGTGCCTGATAAAATATCAACCTAGCGATAAGTACATTTTTATTTTCTTGATTGTCTTAGATTATTATAAAAATAAATAAAAAACTGCGAATAATGAATATTCAATAAAATAAATTTGCAAAACCAACTCTAGATTTTAGGATGCTTGATCAATTGCTTCTTTTCTCCCTTCGTGGATGTGCTGTATATTAGCAAGCTGTTTGTTTCAAAATTATTTACTAAAAGTTTCTTGTAATTCTATCTTAGGAGTAGTAATTGTATTCACATTTATCTTGAATGAGTTCATTCAAATTTAAATTGTCATTTTTTTGCTGCTTACTCTCACTTTAGCTTAATTTTTCCCAACAGTTCGGCATTATGAAGTGGTTTATCTAATCCATGAAGATCATATTGAAGAGGTTGATAATGTTGTTTCCAAAGTTCAAGGTGCCATTTTTATTCAATATAAACCTTCCAAAGCTTCTCTTCCATATAAATTAATCATCATTATCAAGTAAAATCATTGTTCTGTTACTTCTGTAGCACAAAATGAAGAATCCTTCATCCTGATTGGCTCGGCCAACCTTTTACATTTCTAACAATTTTTGTTGTTTTTTGCTTTTTGTTGCAGGTTTCATCAGAGAGAAGAAGGGAAGGATTTGGAGGCTGAATAATTGGGGGCTTCGTAGGTTGTCTTACAAGATTAAAAAAGCAAGCAAAGCAAATTATATTCTGATGAATTTTGAGATGGAAGCCAAGTGGATCAATGGTTTCAAGAACATGCTTGATAAGGACGAACGCATCATCAGGCATCTGGTGATGAAAAGAGATGAAGCCATCACTGAGGATTGCCCTCCCCCTCCTGACTTCCACACTATTAAAGCAGCACAAGGATTTGATGAGGATTACGAAGACGACGACAATGATGATGACAGCGATGAGGATTACGAAGAAGAAGATGACGATGATGATGAGCTGCGAGTGCAAGCTGATAGTTTAGAAGGTGTTGGTGATAATGATTTTGGTATTGATGGTGAAGTTAGTAGTTCAAAAAGCTCAAAGAGAAGATAGCAAGATAGTTTATTGATTTTCTTAGCTGTTGATTGTTGTCTCTAGTTATCTGGTAATTATTTGGAAGGTTTTTATACGTAATTATTTTCAACAATAATGATGAAATTTCTTTATTATGAACAGAACTGTATGTACTTTTTTTATGGTCAGCGGTTAATTTAAGAAGAAATGTTTCCATTACTTGTGAAGTTTGTGATGTGTTGTTCAGTGTTCATTCTCAGTGTGATTTCTGGTGAATGTGCATCATTGTACATTTCAACTATAATATACTACAATTTATTTTAAAAAATTATCATCATCATCATTATTATTATTATTATTTTCCCCAATAATCATTTAATGTTTATTAGTCTTCTTTATTAGCCTTAATATGTCGTGATAATTTGAGGGTAAACTTTTCTAATCTTAGTTTTTTTTTTAATTAAAGCTGTAATAGATAGATGATCAGTTATTTTTTTTATTTAATTCCGATCCTTTAAGTTATTAGTTTATGCTAAATTTGGCTTATTAAATCTTGATTAATCAAGATTGATTTATGTTAACTTTGTAATCATCAACAACAATACCAAGGCTCTCATTCGGTCAACATCGACGATGGTTTGTCCATACCAATCAATCACACCAGATAGGGCATCCTTCCATCCCTTCAATATAAGCTCTATCTCCTTGAGCTTCTCCACTCATACTATCTATCCCATATTCTTCTTTTTGTTTATCAATTAACTTTTGACAACAACTGTGACATCTCATTCACAAAATTTGGTTATGTCATCAAGGAACGGAGAACAAATCAAATACTCCTTCAGGGACCTAGCAAGGATGGTCTATATCTCATATCAGCATTGGCCGCAACATCTTCAGAACTCTAGCATCGAAGACCGGGGCACCCTCACTATATATAGAGCAACAAACACAAAATTTAGTCCTAATTCTAAGTTTTCTTGCAATGAATGTAACTGTCTAAGACTCATCGTCTGTCTTTTCTTATTTCTAGTGCTACATCTACATAATATTTTGATCTTGTATATTCTGAAGTTTGGGATCCAGTCCCCTTCATTTCAATACAAGGCTATAAATACTATCTTTTATTTGTCGATAACCAACTCGCTTCACTTGGGTTTTCCCAATGTGTACCAGATCAGAAACCAGCAGCAAAATAATTCTTTTTGTAAAATGATACACACTCAATTTAATAAAAACATAAAAGTTCTCCTCTTTGATGGCAGTGACGAATACACCTCCAACACCCTACATACATACCTCAACTTACATGGCATCTTCCACAGGTTCAGCTGCCCTTATACCCCTCAACAAAATAGAGTGGTTGAGCGAAGGCACAGATACCTCGTCGAAACTACAATAACCCTACTACTCGCTGCTTACTTACCTCCCAAAAATTGGACAACGACATTAATGACAACAACATAACTAATAAAATTGCTACCATAAAAAACTAGACATCTCAAATGCACATTTGAATCCTCTATTCCAAACCTCCCACCTATAGCCACTTACGAACCTTCGACTGTCTATGCTTCCCATGGCAAAAACCGCAAGCTCCTCATAAACTTGCACCATCCGCGCACCATGCCTCTTTATGGGCTACTCTCCCTATCACAAAGGGTACTACTGCTGCAACCCACAAAGAAACCGCATTATTATCTCTTGGCATGTTGTCTTCAATGAACATATTTTCTTTTCTTATACAATACTCAAACAATACCGGCAAAGCTTCCCTCTAAATATACACCACCAAGCCTTCTTTTCCCAACAACCTTTTCACCACTCCCATCAGCATCTCCTATATAATCCATCACAAAACCACCTCCCATTAATCCATGCGAACCTCTAAATCCAACTGATATTCCACATCCTACCTCCACAACCTACTCACACATCCTACCTCCTCCACCAATCAAACACTCCATGACAACAAGATCCCAAACATACTCCCTCAAACAGAAAATCCCCATCAGTCTACAAAGCTCCCTCACCCAAACCACCGGCCCAACATGCTACACACAAGTCGTAAAGCTCCCACATTGGCGCCAAGCTATGTCATTGGAATTTGAAGCACCACAAAAGCAACATGGATTCTAGTTGAGTCACCACCTCAACAAAATATTATTGGTTGCAAATGGACCTATCGCATACAATCCTACCGAAACGGTGGACAAATACAAAGTGCTACTAGTCACACAAGACTTCAAACAACTATCATGCACACAATACAACCAAACATTCAACCTAGCCACTAAACTACCTAAAATTCAGATTCTCCTATCTACCGCACTCCAACGTAGGTAGCAAATTCAACAATTGAATGTCTCCAATGTCTTCCTTCATGGATAACTAGATCTAACATGCATCAACCTCAAGCTTTCCAAGACAGTCTACATCCAACTAATATATGCTTACTCAAAAAGGCTCTCTACGGTCTTAAATAGGCGCCACGCCAATGGCATCACACTCTCATTCACCAGGTACAAACCAAAGGGTTTTCGACTAAGCACCTTTGATCCCTCCCTCCTCATATACCATCACAATCAAACTACCATATACCTCCTCATGTATGTAGACAACATCCTCATCAAGGGAAACGGCCCTTAAGCCATTACACGCCTCACCCGCACTCACCAATCAGAATTCCAACTCAAGGAATTGGGATTGATGAATGCCTTTCTCGCCATCCACATAAATCATACATCATAAGGTTACCATTTAACCCAATCCTCATACGTTCATTTCCTCCTACACCAACTTTGCCTATCCATGTGCAAACCAGTCTACACTCCCCTTCCCCATAAATTAATCCCGACAAAAACTCTCTTCCAACATCACTCAATACAAATAATTTGTCAGCTCCATTAAGTTCCTTACAATTACACGATCAGGCATAGCCTTCGTCGTAAACTACATTTGTCAGCATATGCATAATCCCCTCCCAATAAAAGTTGCAGATAGATACAAAAAGAAAGCCTAGCCCTTCAAAACGGAAAAAATTTGCGTACGTCAAGGGGTACACAAAGATGTGTACATAATAGGGTACACGGGGTTTATACGGGGATTACAAGTGGGTTATAACCCGTTGTACCCCCGTATAACTCCCGTGTAACCTCCCGTGTAACTCCCATGCAACACCGCTGTAACCTTGTAATCTCAATGGATAAAATAAAAGCGCGGGTTACAGCTGAGTTACACGGCTGGTTACAAGGAAGTTATAACACGCTTGTAACCCCCATGTAACCCCCATATAACGCCCGTGTACCCTATTATGTACGCATCTCTGCGTACCCCTTGACGTTCGCAAATTTTTTCCCTTCAAAACATGGGTCTGGTGAGATTCAGCAAAAGGAAAAATGAAGTGTGAACCAATCAACACTCATAACAAAAAAACTATCATGTATAGTCATTTTGGCACATGTATGGGCAACTAAGTTTTTCCTTTCTATCTATATATTGAACAAGATTCTCTTTTAACGAAGTTAGAAAGGAGAGATCCTCCATGTCTTCAATAAGCGCGGTCCAAATGTTGGAATCCTTAGCTTGTTTGAGAGTGCTTCTCATATCCTCTAGCAAAGAATGTAATGATACCATTTCTATTTTCCTAAAGGCACTTTTGTGCTACTCTGTTCTCCTGCATGAGCTTCGGTGGTTCTTCCTCATGCAACAGTAAACCTTTTTACAAGTAATTACGCATTACTTTAATTACTTAAGTTTAGAAATGATTAATTTGTGTCTGATTATCCGACTAAATATTGATTAAAAAAAAGCAGGCTAAATCAAATTGTAATTGCTTGTTGATCAGCTCAAGTTAAATGCTATATTTTGGATAGGATGTCCTTAAAAATAATATTTAAATTTTATAAAGTTAGACTTTGAACATTTATATTATACTAAATAATTTATGTTTTTTTTTTTTTTTGTATATATTATTTTAAAAAATTATTGATTGTCATATTTATTTAATTTTGTCAACTTTTTATTATTTATTTTTTTATAATTTATTACTTATTTTTAAATTTATAAATGATTTAATATTTATTTATTTTTCTAAGAAATTCCACAAATAGACATATCAACAGCGTGCATGTTCGATGAGGGTTGGGGATGTAATAAATAGGTTTCTTTTTTAAAACTACCATAAAAAGAATAACTAAATCGATGCAGAGGATGAATCTCGGCCGTTCGATCCATCTCCATGTCAGCAATCCGCGACGCAGCGCAGAACGAACGACGGAGGTTCTCCCATGGGAAGACCACGTCCGCTGCCCTAGTTCGTGTCTTGCTCAGTTGCTCCCCTGCTCTTCCGCAGCCATTCTTTCCTTTCAATTTTAATCTCAGAAAATAACTTCTTTTTTTAAGAGGAGCAGGAGATTAAGATGACGGGTGCTGTGGAAGAGCAGGAGTTCGATTTGATTGGAAAGAAGACGTTGCAAGAAGCGAAGATGGTGAACGAGGAGCAGGTGGTGGATCTGAAGGGTGATTTGGAGGAAGAGGAGGTGGAGGACGAGGATAGCGACTTGGAGGAGGCGTTGGAGGGGGATGATGTGGATGAGGAGGAGGAAGAGGAGGAGGAGGAGGAGGATGATAGCGATGTAGAGGAGGTACCAGCGCCGGGAGTCAGGGGTGCGCCGGTGTACACGGTGGATGATGATGATGAGGAGGAGGAGGATGAAGAGGAAGAAGAGGAGGAAGGGGGTGATGGGGACGATGGAGACGGAGATGATGACGATGATGAGGAAGATGATGGTGATGGCGATGATGATGATGATGATGATGATGGCGAAGAGGATGACGATGAGGAGGTAAAATATTTGTTCTATTTTCGGGTTTTGTTTTCATTGTGAGCAGGATTTCTAGGGTTTACATGTAGGGGTTTTGCAGATCTAGTCGCTTTCTCCTATTTCCTGGTTGTTGTGCCATACTTTTATTTTAATAGTTTTACTTTTAAAATTATAAATGATGGTGATATGGGTGCCTTTATGTGCAGATAAGAATGCCTTTTTTTGCACATATATTTTTTTAAGAGGATTAGTGATTGAAATTTCAGAAGGTTTTAAAGTAGGATTTAGCACAGGAATCTGTTTCAGTTTTTTTCTTTAATCCATTTTAATGATTTGAATCTTTTTCATTGGTAAAGGAAATGGGAACAGAGTACCTGGTTCGACCTATAGCCCGCCCTGAAGATGAAGAAGATGCAAGTGATTTTGAGCCTAGAGAAGAGAATGGTGAGGAGGATGATGACTTTGAGGAGGAAGATGATGATGGTGAAACAGGGAAGGAGGGCCCATCTGCTAAGAGAAAGAGGCCTAGAAATGATGATTCTAATGATGATGATGATGATGACGACGATGGTGATGATGATGGTGATGAGCGGCCATCAAAAAGATAATTTTTTTCCTTTTAAGAAGAGGCTTCATTCAGCTTCCAAACAGTAGACTGCGTTTTCTTAGAAGGAAGAAAGAAAGAATATTTGGAAAGTTATTTGCTTTAGTAGTCAATGTACAAGTTTTAGGTAAAGTTTAGACTTTGATTTAGGGGAGGGATTGAGTTATTTGCCATTAATTGAGAGTCTGCAACTGTTTGAATGTTTATTCTCCTGTTTTTGTTTTTTTTAGTTAAATGTTTATTGAACTGTGTGAATGTTTATTTAAAAGTGAGTCTTCTGTTGATTGTAGAAAGATGATGATGAGTTGTTTCGTTTTGGGCTTTTAATTGGTTTGCATCAAGGCCAGATTTAATGATTTTTTTTTTTATATATTCAGTTTTAAAAAAATTGGAGAAGTATGTTTGTTACATCGCAACTCTCGACTGTTCTGTGAAGATATCGGTTATTTACGTGAGATCGTGACATGCCATGCGCATGCTAATTCTCTGAGGAAAATGATTTTCATGATCACATTATATATTAACAATTTCCAACTCGATTTATGATGACATATGAACCTACATGCTTTGCATAAATGCGGAGGAATTGCATGATATTAGATATTAGGTATCGTCTATTATATATATATATATATATACATATATATAGAGGACCTGAAAGCTCGATGAATAACTCGAATTCGATAGACTTCATTATGTTTGTTAATTTTATTTAAATTAATAAATAAATAAATTTGAATAATTTTTAAAACTTGAAATTAAATGAATTATACATGAATATAACCAAACTTGTTCATTTATGAGTAAACTTATTTGTTATTCAATAACTAGTTAAATATTTATTATTAAACTTGATAACAACTCATATTATATATAATATATTACTTGAATAAAATTTAATGAACTAAAATTTTAATTTGTTTGTTGATAATTCAATGAGAGCTTGTATCGTACATGATATATAAATACTTGATATTAGATTTTTGTAGGTTTAAAGTTATCATTTAAAATTGTTCGGTAGAATTTAGATTAAATCATGCATAAATTCTACTTAACAGCCCCCAAGTGGGAGATTTAGGGAAAATGAATGAGATACAAGATTCAAGTGTTTAGAATTTATATTCAATAAAATAATAGTTGCGATCAAATTTGTGAACTTATTTATTGAATTTTTTGTATGAAAATTTGGATACTCATTTGAATTTTTAATTTATTTATTAGTTTGTTAAACACTCATTCACTTATCATAAACAAATAAAATGTAAATTATGATCAAACATTAAAAAATTTAAGCAATTCAACTTAAACAATATATGAAAAACTCAAGTTGAACATGAATAACTTTTAATTATACCAAGTTAAATATGAACTATGATTTACTCGGCTCAATTAGAGCCCTACATATATATATATATATATATATATATATATAGGGAACTCAATTCCTCCTTATTTACACTCAAGCCTTAGAAAAAAATCCACATAAATTGGACAAACTTACAGACGCAGACCATCATATCCAAGCTTTGCTCGCTCGACCAGAGTATTTAAAGAGAGAATAAAACACAAAAGAGAGTTCACAACTCCCCTCAGAACTCTAAAAGATGAATTGTCAAAAAAAGAGCTCTGATTTCGAAAAAAATATGAAGGATAAAATGAAGTGATCAGAGCTGCCTCCAATTCTCTCCAGCATATACAGCTTGGCTTCCAATCTCTTCCTCAATTCTCAGCAGCTGTAGCCAACAAGAAAGACAGAAAATTCAGTGGACAACCCAACCAAATTAACATTCGACAGAATTTTGTTTCAGAATGATTCTCAGAACTTTCAACTTTAACTTAAGAGCAATACATAGATGATTAGCGTTATATTAATCTCAAAAGTATAGTTATTAGCTTTCAGATATATCCTGATTAAAATTTTAATTAAAATATCATGAGAAAAATTTATTTTCCAACATTCTATAGGTACGTAATAGCATCTCGATCTTGTAAAGACTGATTGAGGAGCTGGTGCCAACTGTCGAGGATGTTTATTTGCCATTAGAAATGGCTGCAGTATTTGATAGAGATTTAAGGGGCCAGTAAAGTTTGAAAAAAAAAATCATAATTAAAATTTGATCATAATGAATCTCTAAATCAATGCAATTACATTGAGATAAGTGCAATACATGAGCCTGACTACTCAAAACTCATATTAAACTCATCTCAAAATAAATTTCATATTTCTGAAGTTTAGCCTGATCATATTAGAACAGGATATATCCTCATCAAAATTATGCCCCAAGTAGAAAACTAGGCATCCCATCTTCATCGGTTGGTAAGTTTCATTTCTCTAAATTCCACCAAGTCCATCAAACTTAGTACACTGATAAACAGACCAAAACCTTATTTGGGCAACAACAATGTATCACAAGGTGAGAACAGCTTAAGACAATGCAATAGAAGTTCAATATTAACTTGACATAATGCTTTCATCACTTCTAAATGACTGCAGAGTTTTCAAAAGAGAATTAGCAGGCTTACATCTGAAAAAGTCATTTTCTTAGGTTCGTTGCATAATTTCTTTGAGGAACAATGTCTTTGTTATATGCTATTTCAATGACAAGGAAATGATTTTAAAGTTGAAGTTCTTTGATGAAAGATATCCTCCAATGATATTATTTTATTTCATCAATTTGAATTCCCGATTAAAAAAAAAAACAGTGACATACACAATGAAGATAGCCATACCAAATGAAGTGTGGCAAATAAAGATGTAATGATTAGCTGTGCTACACTAAAAGACACTCCTAGTAAGAAACTTACAGTTTTTGTCTAACCACTCATAGGGGCTTTGTCCCAAACCATTAATAGCTTTCAAAATCTTGCCGATTTTGTTCTCACCTAAAGCTTCTCAAAGATCTCCATGGATAAACAACATTAAATGCCAATTTAGTATAAGATACATCCTTGAGCAATGACAATTGAGAGAAGTTGAACAAAACTAAATCGAGTAATGAGGGACATAGTTTCAAAATAGTCAACTTCATCAATTTATTTATAGCCTTTGTTTATCATTCGAGCTTTTGTAGAAATAAATGGATATATCTAAGATGGAACTTAAGAGTGAAAACCCAACAACATAAAATAGATTCAATTCCAGAAAAGGGGAGTAACTAGAACCTAGGTGTGACGATCAATAAGAGCACCCCATTTAGACTTCTGATTAAGATCGAGCATAGCTTCCTAAAAATTCATATAACATAGACTAAAATAGTGCACAAATGATCGGCCGGCCTAGGGTTCCGTCTAGCTTGCCTGGACTAGCCGGTTCTCAAGGGGGAAGAGCTGCCGACCCCCCTTTTCTTTGTCTTCCTCCCCTTTCGCTCCCTTTCCTTTCATTTTCCTTCCTTTCTTTCCTTCCTAGCACCTTCCTATTATAAGCCTCTTCCAAATCTGAAATCAGACTATTTATAAACATTGCCTAAATTATGAATTCTTATTATTTTTATTTTCTTCTTTATTTTAAAACATTGCCTAAAATAAATCCTAAGCCACATTATAAATAAGAGGTGGCATGCATGGAGTTTCTCAGTTTTTGAGTTAAGTGATTTCTGAATTTAAATTACGTCGCCAGCGTAGTTCCCTTCAAGGGTTATATCCACAGACAAAGAAGTGCTCTGGCTATCATTTGTCCTAGGTGGTGACCGTCTCTAAGGATCCGAGTGGTGTTTCGACTGTAGCTCGACCCCGAGAAGGCATTTATCTTACCATACTTTCGTTTTCCTTCTACCATTTCAGAATCCAGCCACCGCAGCCCCCTTCCACTGCTACCAGCCATCTTACTGTCTTCCTTACAGCTCTACCGGTCACCTCCTTCTGCAGGCTGCACCTTCCAGCGTCTTGAAAGCCTGTAGCCCCTGCTGCCCTCCTTCCAGCTCCACCGGTCACCTCTTCCTCCTGCAGCTTCCCTGCAGGCCGCACCTTCCGGCTGCCCCTTCCAACGCCTCCCTGCTTCTATCGGGCTGAGGTTTAACGTCATTACTATCACAAGCTTGCTGTCATACTTCTTCCACAACAGCCCCACCTCTCTGGTTTTCACTGCAGCAGTCAATCCAAACTCTGACAACATTCCTACTCCTCTCCGGCTACGGTTTGACATCGTTACTATTACCAATCTGCTGTCATGCTTCTTCCACATCACCCCCCCCCCCCCCCCCCGCCGCCGCCGCCCACCGGGGCGGGCGGGCAAGTAGTTGTGTCTTCTTTGTTGAGTCATTAGTTTTAATTATTTCTTTTGTGTTTTTACTTTGTGTGTTTCCTTTCGTTACTTCGAATTTTCATTATGACATTGTTTTAAGTTTATAATAAAATTGTGTCCTGCATCATGCTTTGGGTTAACTCCGGTATCAGGGAGGTATAGAGTAATGTCATATGTCTATTCATAAAAATTCACTAACATGTGGCCAATGAAATGTCATATATCATGGTAAAAAATTAAACTTGATGTATTTCATTAAAATAAAGTCATTAAAAATGTCCAAAAATTATTCATTACAAAGATTAAACCTGATTTGCAACTTACGAGATTTCAATTCAATATTGCTACACGCAAAATTAAATACAATATATGAAAAAATATGTTAACTAAGAAATTATATTTAATAAAAAAATCTAAAAAAATACTCTCATTTTTAACACAATTAACTTCAATTTCTGCCAATTTAGATAGAAAGAATAATTTAGACAATGTTTAAAGAGTTTGGGGACTAAATCGGGCTTTTTTATATAATTTGAAACTAAAATGACCCCTCACAAATAGAAGGGGGACCATTTTGATCCTTTTCTCCATATCTTGAGAAGATTGCATAAAGCTATCAGGATAAGATGGAGGTTTCCCATCATAATTTTTTGCAAAATTCTTCTCTAAAAACTTCCAAAAACACTTCCCAATATCCTACCTTATAGTACATCAATTTTTTTTACTTATTCTAAAAAGGAATTTTGATATTCATGTGGTTTTCAACTATTTTATGATGCTTAATTACATCCCTAAGACACTCCCAATCCAATTCTTTAAAGACATCTAATAATCGTAAATATTAGGTAGGAGTATTGTATTATTGAGTAACAGAGCGATCCTCTTATGAAAGATATATACATTTAATTTCAAGTAACTATATACTATTCTCATTATATGCTTTCTATGCATCATCCTGATAACAATATTAGGTAGGGGTATTGTTATCAGTTTCATTTTCCATGGTGTTAAACTAGTACATGACCATGTTATTTTTACATGTCCATTATCATAATGTAGGTCCTCTTTTCTAGGAGAATGGCTGTAATGGTGAGGTAATCATCTTTGCCTCTCACACTATTGACATCATAACTAATTGGGCACATCGGAAATAATATTGCCTATAAGACTTGAACCCAACAACCACTGGGTTAGAGAAGCTTTCTCGACCATCAATGTTGCCAAGAGAAATAGATTCAAGGCTTAAAATGGCGTATGAGTAGAAGCTTCTATTGGAGGTCATTCTTTGTTAAAATGAAAGAATAATGAGAAGAACTTAAAGAGACAAGGAAGATAGGAAGATCAGAAGAGATACCTAGAAAACAATTTTGGAAAACATAGGGGAGAATCTCACATTTCTGGTGCATTAAGTTAATAGCATGTACAGAATAAATAGAGAATACTGGACGCAATTTTCTATTGCAATTGCGAAAGAATGCAGCATTTTCTCATCCCCGATATGGAATGTGTGTCTGCTGAAAAAGAGGGATGTGAATTTGAATTGGGATCAGAGTATCCAGGATTAGAAATTCCGGTATTATTGCAAGTAGCATGCCCTGTTTTTCTACTGTGCTTGGAGCAGAAAAGCTAAAAAGATTATTTTAATTGTTTACGAGTGGCTGAAATAGAACAGGCTTTCATCTAGGCCCAAACCGCAAGCAGGGAGGCAATTCCTGGACTGCCATTAGCAAGAATATTCTCTAGATTTATGGAAATCTGTTCAACACCGCCTAGTGTAATTTCTTGAAATAGGTCATTAAAAGTTGGGAGAGTCTTCAACTCCTGAATTCATGGACTGATGGTTTGCAGAATTGTCTGTATGGTTTCCAGAACTGATATTGAGTAAGAGTGTGCTCAAAGATAGAGTTCCTTTTGATGTAATGCATTGCTTAGAATAGCAAACCTATTACGTGGGAATAGAAAGTGTGCTTAGCATTTAAAATAAGAAAATACAAGACCTCTACAGGATTTACAAAGAAAATAAGAACTACACAGCAATCTGAAGAGTTCGCAGAAGCTAAATAAAAAATTTTAGTCATCTTTCCATGAATGAAGTTTTTGACCAAGAATTGACTCTTTCCAAAAATGCTATATAGAGAAACCATTTTCAATCAAAACATGCTTCTAAGGTTTCATTTCAAATACAATATTTGCAATTTCAAGGAAATTATAATCGTAAAAGAAAAAAATAAATTCAACCATAAAAACACTTATTCATTCATATCATATATAAATGTGATCTCAGCAATATGCCTTACAAGATCAGTCAAGAATTTTGATAAAAATGGAAAAGGCAATGTGTGATTTGTGAGAAAAGACGAACCTGGTTGTACTTTGCAAGCCTCTCCCCACGACAAAGTGCACCAGCTTTTATCTGACCAGTTGCAAGGCCAACAGCCAAATCTGCAATAAAGGAATCTTCCGTCTCTCCACTTCTATGAGAAACAACTACACCCCAGTGAGCATCCTTTGCCTGCTTCACAACTTCGATAACTTCCGTAACGGTTCCGATCTGATTTACCTGGAATATGCATGGTAGTTACTCTTAGTGAAGCTTAGAATAGACCTCTTCATTCAAAATTAAAATGCAAGTTAAAAAAGTGCTGATATGGTCAAGTAGCTTAGTAGATGGCATCAGTATCACGAGTTCTGGATCATTCTAGCCTTCTCTTAACGATTTAAATTGAAAAAACAAAAAGGCTATGTTCTAGAAGAAGGTTAAGAGATCAATGTTACACTTAACAGCTTCCAGGGAGTGACATTACAATGCGAGTAAAAATATTTGCAAGTTCTTCTAATTTGGGAACATGAGGTGTAACAGTCCTTTTTGATAATACTGCTCTTGAATAAAATAACAATTAAGCTCAATTTGTTATTTCTTTCAAGAAAAAAAAGGGATTGCCACTGATGTAGATCGCAGCATGAATAATACAATTTTAAACCATAGATTGAGAAATTGAAAAATCAATTTCTCCTAGGAGAGTCCTAACAAACATCATCTCTCGCATAGAGTGAACATCGACTTTGCAATCTGCCTCAAAACTTGAACTCATTTTCATGTTTGTCGTTTGCTCTTCCATGCAATCAAATGGCATTGCACAAATGTGCGTGAATGAACTTAGCATATTCAGCATCAAGGACTGTTTCAGCATTAAGATATACATTCACTGTATATAGAAGTCTGTTTTCTGGTGACTTCTTAACGTATCTGAACACATGCATGCTGACCTCCAAATATATCCTGTGACTTAGTTTGATCTTATAAAACAATAGCAATGGGAAACAGATGCATTGTCTTGTAAGAACAGCTTAAAATACACATCAATAATACTCAAGCATCACCCTTTTTCACAAAAAGAACCACATCAATGCATCTGGATAATTGAAATTACAAAAAAAGATTAACTAGGATCAATTCAATCAAAAAAGGCAACAGGGCCAGACAATGAATGCAATGACTCGTAAATCTAGTTTAAAATGACAAGTCTGCAATCAAAATCCCTCAAATCTAGCTCATTTCACAAAATGAACTATGTCAATGTGTTCATAACATTGAAACTACCAAGAATAAACACCGATATGCTGACTTATACAAGAAAATTTTGCAAAATCCACGAACCACAAGACAACGATTAAATTTGATACAAAAGAGCAGTAGGAAATTGCACGAAAAGGGATCAATACAAACAAATTATTTATTTTTGAGATATAAAATTAATATTAATATTGTTAGCCGTATGTAAAAAATTAATAAATTGAAAAATCTTATCACAATCCATACCAAATCCCTATCCGATGTTCGGCATCTCAATTCATCCCATCACATCCAGCATTAAGCTAATAATAATAAACAAAATCTAAATCTTATCACAATCCATACCAAATCCCTATCCGATGTTCGGCATCTCAATTCATCCCATCACATCCAGCATTAAGCTAATAATAATAAACAAAATCTAAATCTTATCACAATCCATACCAAATCCCTATCCGATGTTCGGCATCTCAATTCATCCCATCACATCCAGCATTAAGCTAATAATAATAAACAAAATCTAAATCTAAGGAAACCGATGGAGCCCCACCATATGTTCCCATTTCCCACTCGGTTGTAATCCCCTCCCTATCTCTTGATCTCCTCTCCCTCTAGCCCAATCGCTGCTCGTGTTCCTCTCTTGGTCCTCTCCTTACACGCACAACAAATCCCACTTCCCACACATCTTCAAGTTCCAGAAACCCTTGGCAAAACAAAAATGAGAAAATCACAGCAAAAGAGCTTGTTAGAGAAGGTAAGAACAAAACCACAACGAGTGAAGTGCATTTGCACATATCAAGCCCATTGGTAGCAAAACAGTGAAGAAATTGTGATAGGAGCTCTCAAAAAATGACATCGACAGTAGCAATGACATCTAAAGGAGAAGAAAGTTCAATCGATGTGCAGATTTGAGTAAAATCCATCCAAAATCCAGTTTTACCAAGCATTGGACCTAAGGTAAGAAAGATTAGAAAAGGGATTTGAGATTCTATAAGAATATGAAGTGTCATTTTTATTGTTTGCAAGGGTTTAAATTAAATACTGCTTATCTTACTAAAATTTTCTTTATTTATTTGGGATTTTAGCATAAACAAGAGAGAAACTAGATTTGATATTATGCATAACTTAAAGCTGTCATTGCTAGCATCAAGCAAGTATGAGCGACGTGGATGCAAGAATGCACGAGCTTCATGGCAACAAATGTGCAACCAATGCAGCAGCGAGCAGGAGCAAGCAGTGCAAGCAAAAGCATATGTGAGCAACAGAGCAAGTCATTGAGTGAGAGAGAGCAACCAGCAGAATAATACGTAAGCAAAAGGGCAAATGATTGAGGGTATGTGGGAATATGTGATGTGAAGAAGAGAAAAGGAAGACGACTAACCAAGGATAGAATTAAGTCACTCCGAGATGATATCGAAGTACAAAAGACTTTATTATATCTTGTTGGCTGAGAATAGTACCTATAGGTAAATAGAACAAATACAAAGAGTGGAAGATAAAGCAAAGAATATATTCAAATATAAGGATAAAAATATACACATCTAAATAGCACTGAGTGATGATGATTTCCTGCAATAACTTCTCAATCTTGCTCTCACATTTCTCAACTCGTTAGCAACTGAAATATACTATACACTTACATCAGAGCAAAAGAAAAAAGTGTTTCAAATGTGTAAATTTTCATAAGTATAAAAACTAATTACAAAAGCCTGACCACAACAAGCTCTAATTTTAACGTGTAAAATAAAATTGCAAAGGATCAGTTTTTTTGCTTCCAAAATGATGAATGCCCCCACCATAGAATTGGACAAACCTACCTTGAGAAGAAGGGCGTTGCAGGTACCTTCTTGGATTGCCTTTTCTATACGTTTAGGATTTGACATCAAAAGATCATCCCCTACAACCTGCAAAACCAACGGTCAAAAGTTAGTTCAAGAGTTTCAGATTAGTTTTCTGGAAAAATAAAATATTTGGAAAGAAACCTGGCATATTCTTAGATTAGAAAGTTGCTTTGTGTGCTCCCAGTCATCCTTATCAAATGGTTGCTCAATGGACACAATAGGGTAGGCTAGTATATCAAAGAAATTAAAAATTGACCAATATGTAAATGTTTGGTTGAAAATGAAAAGTTCTATTAACAAAATTACCTTCACAGAGCTCGCTGTACATCTCAATCATATCTTCTCCAGTTTTAAACTTCTGCTCTGATTTTTTTGGAATTTTGAAGTCTAAGTCGTACTTCTTTCCTAATCGTAAAGGTGAAAACAAGTTGGCCAGACGATTTCTTTATACTCACAGCTAAGAAGTGCACTTATGAGAATGTGCGTATTTAAACATAAGTAATATTATTAAGACTCATCAAATCATTACATACAACAAAAAACGCACATAAGATGCCATATCTTTAGCTTTGAAACTAAGAACTAAGAGAATCCTTCGCAGTCCCTTCTATGCACTATTAATAGAGCACCAAGTTGAAAAATAGAGCCCATACCTATGCAAAATTCCGTAGCACCAATATCTATTGCCAACTTAATTCTCCCATTATAACCAGCACGGGCACAGTGAATTGCCTCATTAATAAGATCCAACCCTTCAGAAATGCTGACAATGGAACAGAGTCAAAGGTTAAGAAGGACGAGAAATTATGCCCCCCCCCCAAAAAAAACATCTACTGCAATCAGCAACCAGAGCTTACTTTTACCATCACTCACATGCATTTTTTCCTATTAATTCATCCTAAGGACAACCCAAAAGAGTTTTTAAGCTTCAATTATAAAATATAAAGATTGAATATCATGATTATCACATAGTTCTCATGATTTTGTTTGATAATTCTAGTGTACATGAACCATTGCAAATATTACTGAGATTTATGGAAAGTATGACCATATCTTCCCTGAAAAGAGAAGATGAGTTGTAAAGCGCAAGGACGCATCAACATTTGGAAGGACTTATGACTATCATGAGCAGTAAAATCGCATTACCTGGAAATGTTTGGAGTGAATCCTCCATCGTCACCAACATTGCATCCACTAGAACCACATCTTTCAGCAATAACTGACTGTACTTCAACGTGAAGAAATAATAATTAACATTTGTCATTTTACTGTAACAATGGGATAAAAAAGCAGCAATTATTTCAATACTGCAATGAAATGCATTTCAACAAATATGTTGTCATAATCATCCTTAAAAAAACAAGAACCAGTGCAAAATATGGGATACAAATAAGTGGAACAAGTTTTACAAGCAAATCAGATATTTTTAAGTGGTAAGATATCCGCAAAAAAAAAAACAAAAAACATTGACAAGGAAGCTAGTCTACGGCTCTGCTTATAAAGTTCATTCTAATCCAGTTAGATAATATCAATCATTACATTACCTTAAGGTGAAAATAAGTCTCAGAGCCCATCTGAATTGCTTCTTCAAAGTTATTTGCGCCGACTGGCATAATCATGATTTCCTAAAGAATTAGGAGTCATCATAAACTTGGTGCTACATTCAAAGAAAAAAACAACTAAACTATATGCAATTATATAAAATACTTTTGATGTTCACAAAATTTTGTAAGAAAAGAAATTACAAGAGAGAAATGATTAACCAGAAAATGAATGGTCAAGATCCCTACATAAAATAGTGGCCTAAGAATATAGTTTATAAAAATCCAATCTTGGACAATTGTTATACTGGGTCACATATTAAGAACCTAACTTATTTGTCTAACAACCAAAGCCGTTAGGTCATTCCCTTTGGATTTCTCTCAATTCACGTTTGTTTGGATGATCGGAGCCCAAAAGAAAAATAGCTCAGCTGCTACAATATGGCGTCCTTGTTATGTGAGAGATCTGTATTTGCTTCTAAGATATCTATCACATACCTCGCTTTATTGAGATTGCCCATTTTAAAATTTGGCATATCACCACATTAACTATACTTAAATATACTCATAAATGTTAATCTTATGGATCTCTGGCTAATGAACAAATGTCATTTATTCAAATCATGTTCAGAGGATCATATAGTTGGCAAAGCCTATAATATTTTGCAAAATGAAGTACTAGCTGGCTATGTGCATCTTCCTTATAACTAGTGCCTACTTTTGTCAAAGCTTAATTCTAGCTCAATAAAAATTTAAATCAAGTTTCTTGTTTATAATAAACTCTTAGGGTCAATTTGAGGAAGCTTTTTTGTTGCTTTTCAAAAATTTATGTGATGAGAAAACCTTTTTATAGCAACATATCCTTAGAGCATGACAGCGACAAAAAAGTTGGTCCAATTTTTCTAAGGAAAAAAAATTACAATATTTACAAACTTTTAAGAAAGTTAATTTTTCCACAACTGTACAACTAGTCGGCTACTTTTACCGATAGCTGCACTGACATAAAAAGGACCCATATTCAGTTTCACTTAAATGGTAGTGATCATAATATCATGTTTGAAATCACATTTTACTCATGTAATCTTGGACTAGTACATGCTGCTATCCACATGAAGGAGCATAAACACATGCCTGAACAGCCAAATTATTGCATGATTGCCGCCACTAATGACAGTAATTGCAGGGACAGGAAGGACTGGGTCATCTTTTCCAGAAAGATCAGCAATGTGTTTGTACAGTGGCACCTGCAAATGAGAAGCAGGGAAAAATAAATAAAATCACACAGGAAAGAAACCCTTACGATGTTCAAACGATATATAAGCTTTACCTCTTTTTCAGCAGCACCCGCTTTGCAAGCAGCAATCGAAACAGCTAACATAGCATTTGCTCCTATTTCTGCCTGCAAAATATCTGCATAAACTTATATTGCGCAATATCAATCAACTATTTCTCAAATAGGCCAACGTGTGTTTTCCGCATAAAGAGATTAACCAATCGCAACTACTTGAAATGGGACATGATAATATTGATATAGATATATGTTGAAATTCAGAATAACACAGAAGTAAGTGAAATTATTCTATTGATATGAAATGGATATAAATAGGCCATACATGAATCCTAAAATAGAAAAAATAATAAAAATAAATAAAACATGAAAAGAAAAGATACATCACCTAATATCTCCAATTAATCAATTTATTAATTATTCGGAGATAAAGGAAATACCATAAAATAGGAAAAGAAATATATTCAATCCAAAAAAATAAATCAAATATAGGAAAGGAAATAAAGTTAAATTAGAAATAAATCTAATCATCACAGTTCCTAATAGAAATAAATTATTTCCTAATATAAATTCTAACACTCTCCTCAAGTTGAAACATTGTTGAAAATTATATTCAACTTGGATTTAAAAACATCTTGAAGTTTTCATCCTGTACTGTGATCGTCATTTACTGCAATTCCTGTAATATCTGTAGGTAGACGAAATGTTCCTATAGGTAATGTTGCAAAGGAGTTTGCAGGAAAGTAAACAACCTACAGGAAAAGCTTACTTCTAGTTAACTGCGGTTGTCTTTGACTGCAATTCTTGCAGTGTCTATAGGTAGGCAGAAGACTCCTACGGGCAATATTGCAGGAGAGTCTACAGGGGAGTCGACAACCTGCAAAAAAAACTGACTTCTAATCGACTGTAATTTTTTTTGCTGCAGCTCCTGCAGTGTCTGTAGATATGTAGAGGCTCCTACCAATAATACAACAGGGGAGTTTACACGGAAGTAAACAACCAACAGGAAAAACTACAGCATATGAACTACAGAAAAAGAAAAAACTACGGAGATAGGCCTTGCTGCAAGAAAAGCTCCAGAGGTGGGCCTAATACAGAAAAAATTATGGAGGAGAGCCTGCTACTGAACAAACTCCGGTGGTAGGCCTTGTTGCAGGAAAGCTCTGAAGGAGGGCTTTATATAGAAAAAAATTTTGGAGAGCCTGCTGCAGGACAAGCTCTGGAGGAGAGTCTGCTACAAGAAGAATTTCGGTGGAGGTCCTGCTGCAGGAAAAGCTCTGGAGGAGGGTCTTATATAGAAAAAAGTTTCGGAGGAGGCCTTTTGTAGGAAGAATTCCGAAGGACTTATTGCAGGAAAAGCTCCGGAGGAGAGCCTGATACAAAAAAAGCACTGGAGGAGGGTCCGAAGGAGGGCCTGCTGCAGGAAAACTCCGAAGGAGAGCTTGCTGTAGAAAAGAATTCAAATGAGGGCTTGATACAGGAAAAAGTTTAGGAAGAGGGTCTGATGCAAAATAAGTTCCGAAGGAGGGTCTGATGCACGAAAAAGTTCCAGAAAGTCCGATGCAGGGAAAGACTCTGGAGGAGGGTCTGTTGCAGAAAGAATTACGATGGAGGACCTGTTGTAGGAAAAACCTCCAAAGGAAGGCCAACTACAAGAAGAATTTAGGTTGAGGATCTGCTGCAGAAAAAGATTAGGAGGGCTTGTCGAAGAGCTTCATGGTGCATCTCAGCAAACTTTACTTCAGTGGTAAGACTGGAGGGATCAAAGGTAACTACCATGCCCAGCTTCAAAAAGCTAGTCTCAACTCGACCGATAGGGACAGTACCAATACCAACAATCTTGTAGACGTCCTGAAGGGGGAGGCGGAGGGGCTTGTCTGTTGGCCTCTTGGGCTCTTGGATCGGGTCAAGATCTTCGGCAAGAGTTGAACACTTGTACCAATCAAGGATCGTGGATCTCTCTATCATTTTGTCGCCCTCAAATCCAGAGATGGGAAAAAAAGGAATCTTCTCAGGTTTGTAGCCAACCTTCTTCAAATAGGAGGAGACTTCCTTAACGATTTCATCATACCTAGACTATGAGTGCTTGGGGGTGGTGGCATCCATCTTGTTGCAGCAGCAACTCACCTACTTCACCCCAAGAGTGAATGCAAGCAAAGCGTGTTCATGAGTCTGACCATCCTTGGAGATACCTGATTCAAAACCACCAGTTGTGGAAAAAATGATCAGGACAGCGCGGTCAGCTGGAGAAGTTCCAGTAATCATGTTCTTGATGAAGTCGCGATGACCAGGAGCATTCATTTCGATCGCCTCCTACTCAAACCTCTCAATAACATGCTTGTTGATACCACCGAGCCTGTAAATGAGATGTTCGGTGGTGGTGGACTTATCGGAATCGACATGGCCAATGGCCACCATGTTGATGTGTACCTTCTCCTTAACCATGGTTGGAGCAAAGTACTTGCAAGGGCAGAAGAAGGCCCGCTCTACCGAGAGAGCTCGAAGCAAAATTAGGGATTCGAGCAAGGCATATGAAGAGCATGTTGCCGGCAAATGTAGGGAATAGGAAGTTTTCGGCTGCAAGGGACTCTAAGATTTGTTTCAAGGCTCCGATACTATGTTGAAATTCAAAATAATTTGGAATTTAATGAAATTAGTTTATTGATATGAAAGGGGGTATAAATAATTCTTACATGAATCATAGAATAGGAAAGATAATAAAAAAGGAAATAACATGAAAGGAAAGATATCACCTCATATCTCCAATTAATTAATTTATATTAATTATTTAGAGATAAATGAAACACCATAAAAAAGAAAAAACCTAAAATAGAAAAGAAAATATATCCAATCCAAGAAAATAAATCTAAAATTGGAAAGGAAATAAGGTTATATTAGGAAATAAATCTAATACTCACAACTTCTAATAAGAAAAAAATATTTCCTAATATAAATTCTAACAATTTCCAAACTATCCAATCTCAGGAAGCAGTGACGAGGTACATTAGAAAAGTTCAATTTGTGATGACTACTGGCATCATGGAAAGGTTCTCAATAAGGTGTTTGTTGACAAACTAACTAGAGATTCCATTGTTTAAGAAAAACAATTTTGAATCATTAAAATGTTAGATTCAAATAATTCCATTTTGTGGTGAAAAAACAATAAACTCAACATTTTTTATGAACACTATCATAATAAAATAACCTCGATAATATCTCTAGCAGCAAAATAAATGGGGATGTTGGAGAAGATAAAGCAAGAGCATGCATCAGAAGAGATTCAAGCAATATCTTTAACTAGTGAAAGCCTCCCTTAATACCACAACAATTATGACAAGAAGATAGTGATGAAGTTAAAGTAGATATCACAAATATAATAAAATAACTCAAACAATAAACTCGACATTTTTTACTAACATTATCATAATAAAATAACCTCGATAATACCTCTAGCAGCAAAAAAAAAAATGGGGAAGGAGGAAAAGATAAAGCAGGAGCATGGATCAGAAGAGAATAAAACAATATCTTTAACTAGTGAAAGTCTCCCTTAATACCACAACAATTTTGACAAGAAGATAGTAATGAAGTGAAAGTAGATATCACAAGTATAATAATATAACCAGCAACTTCAATAAGCAGTGAAAGGTCCTATTAGAAATGACAACAACAAATATGATAATGATGATGGCGACACCACAGAAATAATAAGAAGTTGATTTACCTTTTTTTGAGTTTTGTCCAAATCCATCATAGCTTGATCAATTTGGGATTGAAGGGAAGGGTCCATGCCAATCAAAGCTTCAGAAATCTTCTCATTTATATTCTTAACAGCCTTCGAGACTCCCTTCCCAAGATACTTCCCCTTGTCACCATCACGAACTTCAATAGCCTCATACCTGTAATTAAACCCCAAGTGTTGAATTACAATACTTGGATCTTGATTTCACAACATAAAAAATTGTAAGTTATACTATGGTGAAAAATATCAAGAAAGAACCATTAATATATTGGGGTAAGCTGTATGGATCGTCATCCTCCACTCAATCTTTAGAGTACATAAGGTGTTAAATATATCTGAAGTAAGATTTATGAATCATTCTTACCAGTTCATTTCTTTAAGTGTGGCATCAGATGGTTATAATATTTTTTGTAATCTATTTGCACAACTTCTAGTTATATTACAGTTTTTCTACCCTTTTTTCTAGTGTGGCATCAGAAGCAGCGAGGTTGGGGTGGTTTAGCAGTAGCTGAAGGATGGAGTAGACTGGGCGATAGGGTGACAGGAAGGCTGGGGTGCAAGAGAGATGGTAGCAGAAGAGAAACAAGGAGATTGGGGTGCATGAGAGATGGCAGTGGCAAGGGAGGGTGAGCAGGCGAGAGATTAAGGAGAGGTTATCACCACCTAGGAGCAGGATACAGCCGGAGGACCACCTATCCTCGAATGCAACCCTAGCAAGGGAGAAACACTAAGGACAGAAATCAGAAATCAGAAAAAATTAAACCATAAAAAAATAACATATTTAGAATAAAAGATAACTAGGAGGGAACCCCACCCCTTAGGAGGTAGCTCCAGCCCTAAGTAGGACCAACTGGTTCAGCCGCCCTGTTGAACAGGCAACCTCTTTGTCGAACTGGTTGAGACGGCTCAGCCCCTAGCCCCTGCATCAGTGTCCTGGGGTTGGGAGAGCTTTAACCACATTGGTCGAAGCTTTTGTCTGCTCGTTGTCAGAAATAGAGTTGTTGCACTCTCTTGGGGGGGCTAAAGGTTCTTCGATTGCGGCCCTAGTAGCACCTAAATCCCACTATCGGCTACATTATCTTCTGATCCACCTTAAAATTTCCTATTTTTTATGCACATTTTATGCTCAATTTTTTAAGATATTATGCTTTAATGAAGAGTATTTTTATGTTTTTAATTGCAGATGCAAGAAAAAGAGTTTAAGAGTAAAAAGAAATAAAAATACATCAAAAAGAACAAAATGGGCTAAATTGAAGAAAAATGTCAAACTAGCCGAACTGGCACCTATGCGCCAGATAAAAAATTAGTTGGCACCTAGGCGCGACAATTGGGCGCCTAGGCGCCACGGTTACTCTCTAGAAGATTAATTGAATGAGACTAAATTTTGAAGAGATGTCTGAAAGAACCCTTGGTCATTTTTGAAGCTTTATAAATATAGATTAATTCCAAAGGGTTGGGTGGCCAGATTTAGAGAGTCTTATTGTGTGTGAGTGTGTTAAATGTGTGAGAAGTTTTCTTTGTAAGTCTTTGAAGTCTTTGTTATTTATGGTATTTATGGAGTGTGAGTCTTGTAAGTGTTGTTGGAGTTAGAGAAGTCAGAGAACTTCAAAGAAGTGCTTGGGGGAACATTCCAGATAAATATTTATACATTTGTCCTTAAGTTTTAAACTGTTATCCTCAAGTCAATCCTTGAAAGGATAACAGTCTTTCAGGACATGCCCCAGATGTCTATGGTATAGGCAATAGTCAGACTCATTCTTCCTCTCCACTTCATGAGGTTTCTTTGGCGGTGGAAGCTGCATTCCCTGCTTAAGCAGGTTCTTGAGTATCTTCCTGGACAATCCTTCCTAAAAGGATAGACCTTAGACTTCCTCTGTTCAAGAGACTGGGGTTTCCCTTTCTGAAGAGGTGTGCGAGTTTGCTCGACAGACATGACAGGCTTTTTCATCTTCCCATCGGATGTCGCAAGAGTGATACTCTCTTCCTTCCTCCTTGGAAGACCCACAATAGGCCTTTTGTCTATACCCTTTTTTGGATCTTTAAAGATCAAGGCAACTGCGGTGTACTGCAAATTAGCCACTTTTTTTATCAAATTCTTGAATGTTTTGATCGTAATCATCTTTAGCAAGACGGAAATAGGGTATGTTATTTTGCCCATGAGGAATGCAACCGCATGTTGTTCTTGCAACTGGGGTTCACACTACAAGGGTTCACACTGCAAACTCAAGTTGCGCCAACGAATGGTGAACTCCATCAAGGACTCGGTAGGACATTATCGGGCCAACAACAAATCATTCAAAGTTACTTTGTGATGCGCTCCTGCAAAGCGTTTGACAAATGCATTTTCCAGTTCGGTGAAGGTCTTGAATGAGCCATTAGGTAAATTGACATACCATTCAAAAGCAAACTCTGGCAAACTTGTGACGAAGAATCGAAGTAAGAGGGTGTCGTTGTTGCCAACGTTGCAACAAAGTGCTCTAAATTGGGCTATATGTTGGTGAGGATTGTCAAAGCCGTCAAACATTTTGAAACGAGGGGGAACTAACCCCGGACGGTACGAAATATAATCATATGCCTCGGGATAAGGTCTTCCCCTTTGCACAACAGTCTCACCCTGTTGAGCTGTCAATGCAGCCTTGACCTTGGCATCAACTAAAGAATGCAAGTGTCTATCAGAGGAGATATGCTCGTGTCGGGCAACATTAGAAGAAGCGACATGAACATGCCGAGAAGGTGCCAAAGGCGCTGAAGGAATAGCGGAGCGTGCCTCACCCTGAGTGGGGAGGGAAACACCGTCAGATCCTGCCCTTTCATTCTGCAATGTCACTATTTGGGCAGCAAGAAGGGAGAGCTGGGCTTGCAAGTGAGCGATCAACTCATCTTTGCTCTGATCTTCTCGATCAACCGTGGGGCCGCCATGAGCTTCAATAGCCTCATGTTGGTCATCCTCGACGGGATCAAGGATACGAACCTCAATATTTGAGCTCTGGGCCCGAGTGGTCACGGTCATGACCTGGCCAGTGGCCATCTCAAAGTCATGGAATTCCTCAAGGAGGACATCCTCATCGAGGAAACCCTCTGAAATATCCAAAAAATTCCCAGACGGGTCATTCGGGGTAAGAAGGCAATCCCCAGATAAATCGCTCTTAGGATCTATATCGGGCACCATTTTGGGATCAACTAGTAATGGCTCCAGAGTATGATCAACTGGAGGAACGATTCCCTCGAGGATTGACTCAACGGTCTCCAAAACTAGAGTTGGAGCCTCAACAGGAAAAGAGGTGGGTGACTTTCGGACCCAATGCCTCCAAGGTGGTTCGGGACGATATCCCTTCCACAAATACTTGTTCTGATACAAGTAGTGGGAATCATCTTGAGGACGCGCCCCAGAACTCTCACCATCTATAACAAAAGTGCTTACATTATTTCTAGTCAAACAAGAAGAAGACACATAAGCAGCAATATTTTTTTCTTTATTAATTTTCACGATTACATCAGGTGCGGACTGTGCCGCTACAATAATAGATCTGACAGCAGGTACAAATTCTGGTGTATTGGGATTGAGCGTCACGTTGGGGGTTCCTAACAACACCTCGGTGGGCCTAACCCCATGTGCAACGGAAAGAGACCTCACTCGGCGAGTAGTAGAGCAACGGGCTGAAGCCCACGTTCTACTATGGCGACCTCGAGAGTGAGGGAATTGAAGGAGTTCTCGCTCAGATGTCTCAGAAATCTGGGTGAGGAGCTCCCTCTCAAAAATGAGTCATTTTCCCCTTAAAGAGGAAACGACCCCCACAATTTTTTTAGACAACAGGCTTGTGGTAGTCTTATCAATATGAACAGCAGGTCTGAGACGGACTGCACTACCACGAGGAGGATAAGCTTTTATGACGATCCTAGTAGGAACATAGTCTTGACAACCAAAGAACACAGAAAAGGGGTTCTGATCCGTGGGAATCGGGGACTCTTCGTGAATTGGAACTGAGATAGTAGAAGTAACAGCTTGCTGCTGGGCCCTGAGCAACCTGTTCCGGTTTCTCCGGGCCTTCCTACCCAACTTGGGAGCCGGATCAACTTCAGAGGAAACCGGGACCACAGGGTCCGAAACCGCACCAGGGGACTCTTCATGGATTGTAATGGAAACAGTAGGAGTTACGGCCTGTTGCTGGGCCCTAAGCAACCTGTTCCGGTTTCTCCGGGCCTTCCTACCCAACTTGGGAGCGGGATCAACCTCAGAGGGAACCGGGACCACAGAGTCCGAGACCGCAGCAGAGGAAACAACGGCAGCAACAGTGCTGCTAGAAGACTGACCTGTCAAAGGCAGAGACATCCGTGAAAACACTGAGGGATGACCCAACAGCCTGGAGAAGACTGAAGGGCGCTGTGACACATCATCATCGGGCGCAAGCCTCTTCTTTGAGGAAGGGGCGGGCTCGACGTGAGTTACCTCAGCAAGAGTAGCTCTATGTGCTCGACTCCCTTTTTTAGGGGGAGGGCACAGAGCAACAGCCTCAGAAGGCGTAGGAATACCCAAGGTAATCTGGGACAGGGTGTTCAAACGAACCGAATGTTATAGTACCCTCGGGAGCACAAATAATACATGGGGAAAATGTGACAGAGTTCCTCCCAATAGTAGCGATCGTCACAACTCTCTCGCTAGCCATGTTTGCCAAGCAAAAATAGACACGATCAACAAAAAAGAAAAGTTGAGAAAAAAAATCAATAATAATAATAATAAAACAGTACAACAACACGGACACGGCAAATATGCAGTGACTCAACGTGCTGAGGGTGCGAAGGCGGGACAGAATACGCCAAGTTGCTACCCCTAGCAACTGACGTATAGACTAAAACCAAGGTTTGATTACAAACTCGATTAATGACTCGAAGAAAGAATCCGGGTCACAATAATATGAGCGAAACTCCCACACATAGAGAGAGAGACTACAACCCCAGAACAAAAGCGAAACTCCTAGCATGGAGAGAGAGACTCATCCCCAGCAGAGTCGCCAGATTGTTGTTTTTCTCTTGGTTCTTTTTATTTCTCTTGGTTCTTTTTAGATCTCGGAGTCACCAGTTTGTCTTTTTGTATGTCGCCGTATAATTTTCCTATTCGAGTAAGTCTCCCTCTTGAACCAAATGAATGACTCGAAGAGA